AAAAAGAAAAGAAAAGAATTTTGATTAATGAAGGTTACTGCTGCTGGAGTTTCAAAGCTTATTTTGGTACTTGATTATCCGAGGAATTGTTTCTTTCTTTAGTTGTTGTATTTCTTTTACCCTAATTTTGCTTTTATAGCTTATTAACCATTTCAATTATGGAAATGGTATTATTAACTCCACTTTCTTATTTATGTCTTTGGGTTATAGAAGGGAAGTGTTCTGTTTGCCTGATAAATTATGGATCATAATGTTTTCTTCTACGTATTTTAGGTGGGGAAGAGCAAATAGAAGATTTGGAAATTTTGATGTGGAAGTGTGAATGCTTCTTTTTGCTGCTTGGAGGGTAAAACTTGTTTCTCGCAGCAAAAGATAAAGGCAAATGGCTCCTGCAAGCAAGGCTGATAAGAAGGCTGCAGGTGATGTGGCTGCATGGATGTTCAATGTGGTCACTTCAGTTGGAATTATTATTGTCAACAAGGCCTTAATGGCTAACTATGGCTTTTTCTTTGGTAAATTTCTCCGCAATATTTGTCATTATTTCAGAACAGCATTCCTTATTAAATTATTTTTAAGATTCAAGCGGCATTGGTTTTTTAAATTATTTTTAATTTGAAGGATATAATGTCATGGAATGATGGAACATAATATGCATAAACTCTATGACCTATAGTGTGTTATAGCTAGACGTGTTTGTTCTTAAAAAAGAAAAGCAATGAAAACAAGTCTTATGGTACATTTGGCAAGAAGAGAAGTCAGAAGGGAAACGCATGCTTCTTTGAAATGAAACTCAAAATTTACATATACTTAGCAGATATACATTAAGAAGAGACTAAGAGAAACTTGAACCTAAGAGAGTTTTGCTGTAAGAGCGTTAAAACTTATACAAGTTTCTTTGCTTGGTGAAGATGAAGATTTAAAATTACTATACATTCTTTTCAGTCTTTTTGTGATATCGTTGTTCTAGCTTTTGATTACGACAATCTTTGCAGCAACAACATTAACCGGGATGCATTTTGCCACAACCACCTTGATGACTATTGTTCTTAGGTGGCTCGGGTACATCCAAGCTTCTCATTTACCCCTTCCAGATCTTCTAAAATTTGTACTGTTTGCAAACTTCTCTATCGTTGGGATGAACATCAGTTTAATGTGGAACTCGGTGGGATTCTACCAGGTAATTCTATGCTCAACACATTGACCCTGCTCTTCTGATTCTATTGAGGAAATCAAATACTAATCTCCATTATCACTCTCAGATTGCAAAGTTGAGTATGATCCCTGTGTCCTGCTTACTAGAAGTTGCCTTTGACAAGATCCGTTATTCAAGGGACACAAAGCTGAGTATTGTCGTGGTACTCCTAGGTGTTGCTGTGTGCACAGTCACTGATGTGAGTGTTAATACCAAAGGCTTCATTGCTGCCTTTGTAGCTGTATGGAGCACTGCACTGCAACAGTATGTAAGTTGTCTCGGCAATTAAATATCTTATCTCATCTTGAAAAGCTTGATTGAATCATTTAACCAATACACCAAAACACGAAGGGAATAGATGCACCATCAATAAGGTGTCATTTGATTACCGGACTAGTAATGCAGGTATTATGGCCCAAGGGGTCGGTTGAGTGTTTGGGGTATAAGAGTACCAATCCGGAGATCCTTGGTACAAATCCAGTTATAAAGCTTAGTATGAGCAAATGTATTCTAGTCTTAGCGCACAGGTTTACCCAGAAATATACTTGTGGTCGTACCAGGTAGCTTAGTGGATTAATCGAGTTGCATGCAAGTTGGGTTTGATGCAACTGTCATAAAAAAGTTGCTATACATGGATTATAATCTAAAAGATGCATGCAGTATTAATAATACATACCAAATTCAAGATTAGCTTTAACTTGTTAAAACTTTTAGTTTAAAAGCGTTAAAAATTATGTAAAAATTCTTACTATAGAATGTTAACATTATTTTTGTTTTTTTTATAGAAAAGAATTTATTCTTATTTACGAAAATAAGTCCCCTACATTGAAGGCATTTTTGTGTTTAGGTGCTCTTATCGATGTATTGTTTCTGCATGTACTTTATTCTACATTATATCCCTTTTTCTGAGATGAAAGAAAAGGATATAAAACATAAATGAGCTCCTGCATAAGATATGCAGGTATTACTTATGATTAGTTGTATATCGGAAACCAAAGGTTGTATCAGCAACGCAGAGTTGTATTCGTGATCTAGAGTTTTATATGGGAAATCACACTCTACGCTAGTCAGTTTTTTTCCCGTTCCTTAGATAAGTAAAATCAGACGTATTATTAATGCAAAGTTCGTACGGAAATCAAACAAGACCTAAGCCTCTTTTATTATAAGAGAAATGGAAAACTTGTTTTATGGGTAATTGTATAAAACTGTCACTTCTATACTTCACTTAGATTTGAAAATAATATTCTATACGCAATTCTTAGTCTTTCTATTTTTTCGAAGCTCTTCTATTTTTGAATGTAATGGCACTTGGTTAAAAACTGAATTTTGCACTTGGTTTTGTGTTTGCAGTATGTTCATTACCTTCAAAGGAAATACTCCCTTAGTTCTTTCAATCTGCTGGGACATACTGCACCAGTTCAGGCTGCAAGTTTGCTGATATTAGGCCCGCTTGTGGATTATTGGTTGACGAACAAGAGGATTGATCACTTTGCCTTCAATTTTCCATCTTTGGTTAGTACTCTGCTCTCTGTCATGGATTGCTGTTGATTTTTTAGTTCTTCAGGAAAAAAATGGTAGTGAAAGGTGATTCTTATGTTGGTGGGAATGCGCTCTGAAATATTTCTTACTTGTAATCCTTGGATTTGATGCAATTTGAAAGCTTGAGAAGTCTTAGGTCTATGTTTTTCTTGTCTGATACATCAATCTATATTTTTGTTATTTTCCTTGGTAAATTAGTTATAAACCTGCAATAATGATGAACTACAACTTCAGGATGTATCTGTTTGATGTTAATTGCTGTATGAGCTGGCTTCATTTAAACTAAAAAAAACAAACTAGAACAGGTTTCAGTTTTTGCTAGATACAGAAAAATGTTCATCTCATTCCTAACTTGCTTTACTCTGTTGACTTCTCTTCTCAAGAGAGTAGGGATTTAGTGCTCACCGATGTATGTTTAACACACATTTCATGCGATCACAGCATTACAGTTCATTTTTGCCATCTCTCTGATATGAACAATATTCTGTATGCTTGTTGATGCATGCACCTTTTATTCTATTAAACAAAGATGAGAGATTTGTGCTGTAGCTGTCAGCTTTTCAGAACATGGTCCCTTACACTTTTCTTTTTTCTGCAGGTGTTCATAATTCTTTCATGCACTATAGCTGTGGGCACTAATCTTAGTCAGTTCATATGCATTGGCAGATTTACTGCCGTTTCATTCCAAGTTATCGGCCATATGAAAACGATCCTTGTTTTGATACTGGGATTTTTGTTTTTCGGGAAAGAAGGTCTAAACATACAAGTTGTAGTTGGCATGATTATAGCAGTTTTTGGAATGATCTGGTATGGCAATGCCTCATCTAAACCTGGTGGCAAAGAGCGTCGTAGCCATTCAATTAAGCATGGATCAGATTCTTCACAAGTTGATGATAAGGTGTAATATTCTCTAGCATTGGAGCTGAAACAGAAGATATAGAAAATACCAGGATTTTTTAGTCAGCTGACTCTAGATACACCTCCCGAAATCGATCAAATTAGATTCTCCTTAATGTTATAAATCTTCTTTTTACTACTATAATATTAACATCAGGCAGAAGGGATTGAGACTTCAGTATAGAGCGTGGTTTCTGTCATTCTTTTGTGTTCCGTCATCATAATTTATATGCTGATAAACAAAAAAATTGCCTGCATTTCTTTCTCCTAAGCAGTCTGAGTTACTTATCGGGAAAATTTTGCGTGCAAACACATTATAAATCTCTAATTCATGTTGCACCAACAGTCTAGTTCTATTCCTCCTTCCATTAGTGCCACAACTCTCCACATTGTTGTAATTGTGATTGGCAGACAAAAGCAATCTTTTTGACTTTTTTGTTGAAACCTTCACAGATATGTAAAATCTTTCATCATACATGGAGGGGTTGATTTTATGGGTCACTCAACTTTCACCTTATTACACTCAAGTGACTAAATTATATTTTATAACAAGAAAATCACTCAAATTTACGTAACTATCATGAGAGTCACTAAACTTTTTTTTTTTTTTTTTGTAACCAAAATGATCCTCTGGTTACTAAAAAAGTGTTTAGTGACTTGTTGTGATTCTTAGGCAAAGTTGAATGATTTTTATGTTAAAAAAAAATAGTTTAATATTTTTGGTGCAATAAAAATAAAAGTTTGAATTACCATCTACAATTTCAACCCTACGTGGGATATCGTCTAGAAAATGATACCATAAGACCTAACTAATGGAGAAAAATAACAAGTTTTGGCCTTTTAACTTTTGACCTTTGAAATGGGCAAAACCTATCCCAAAGGTTCAAAGTTCAAATCATAGACCCGGAGCCTTCCCAGTCTAGTATGCCTGTTTTAAGGTTCGAGATTAGATGTAGGAATGATAGCTTGACAATAGGCCCCAAAGTAATAGCCATGTGGCTAAATCATAGGTGTAACAACGTGGAGATCCCAACTTTAAATGTCAGCTACAATATTTGGTGCGAGTCCATCCCTTCCAACCTTGGTGGATTAATCGAGGTACAAATAAACTAGTCCGAACACCACTCTTATATACATATACACACACGCACATAATAAAAGATTGCTTGACATTAGCCATATAACTTGTATTTTGTGTAATCATACACCTTATTTGCGCCTCCTACGCCATCTAACAATGAAAGAAGGTGACACCCACAAAAACATGTTGATCTGCTAAACTGCCACCATTGAGTTGGCATAAAAGTTAATCCCTTTTCCTTGCTATGAGCGGATTGCGAGGCCATTTACACAGAGCCATTAGTTATCTAAATCAGAAAACAAAAACTCCAAATATGATTTACTTGCTGAATGTACAACAAAGTGTTATTACATGGAGGAGACTCGAGGAAAAATTCTAAAGCTGAGCCAGCCTTTTGTAAGTCACTCGAATATAAACTGTTACATCTACTACTTTCACAAACATGTTCGTTTCTGGACATACAACAAACATAAAAATAGAGGAGGACTATCTACATTCCATTGTACACCAATCATGGATGGGCGAAAGGACTCTTTAAATATCATTTTCTAACTACAAATCATATGCATTCTGTCCTTTCCTCATCCTCAAGCCAACAAAAAGTGACTTTACCAAGATAAGTACAGAATAGTGAGTTTTCAGATTGATATAGTACAGCCTAATTCCCTAGCAGCAGTACCAAGAAATTGAGCAGACATTCCATTTTCAAGCCGGCTATTTGCTTCCCACATCAAACATTTCTCAATATCCGCTTTCCAGTCAATGATGCTTATGCTTAGGTACTGATAAGCAGGACTGTGGATACCATTTACATCTGCTTGTTTAGCACTTGACGGTTTTACTGAACCAGCAAACATAATGGCACGAAGAACCGATGTGCTGAGAGCACGGACATGCGCACTTGGATGAGAAACACAACGAACTGTGGCTGTTAAGCGACACTGCAATGTATTAAATCAAAGGTACCAGTCAGTGTTGTAACCCAAAATGGGTCATCATTTAAGTGCTAAAGTAAAATTCAAAGAAGACAAGATCATTTTCACTTTTATTGTTCCCCAATTCGAGCAAAGAGTATCACCTTCAGGAGGTTTGTGAGGCCATCAGCAACTGCCTGTCCAGATTCTCCCCAGTCAAGCACTGGTTGAATTGCTCTAGCTGTCACTTCCAGAAGCTGCTCAATTTTTTTTAAGAGCGAGGATGTAAATACATCAAAATATGCAAAAGATAAGGAGTATGATGAATCAATTATCATCAGACATATTCAAGTAGTCACAAACATATAGGAAGTCTTAGCTCTCTGAATCATAGATACATCACAGTGGGAAATTAGAACTACTACAAAAGATGTTTCCCTAAACCAAAAGTTATAGATGTCATTACCTCCAGTTGCGGTAAGGTGCATGCTTCTCCATCGACAAGCATCCCATCTGTGGCCCGTAAAAGGAGGTCTGGGGCACTAGCCAGAATAACCAAAGATTCTGCTATATCATGATTCCTTATTAGTTCTGCGATCAATTTTACTATACGTTGGTTGATTCTCCACATCTGCTGACCAAGATCATCATCTTTAGCAATCCATGGTTGCAATTCCCTCTCAGCCTGACAAGTAAAGTTTGGCAAGAAAGTGACTAAACAAATATGGTGATGAAGACCTAAATACACCTAGAAGCAAGTTATGATAACTATTAGCATGCAAGTTGAATAAGCTTCGGACCCAGACAAGTGCTGTACCCATTGTCGTAAAAAAGACGTATTTGTCGTGTGTACGAGGTCGAAAATATGATAGAGAAAAGGGAAAAGGTGCAAATTTGCCCCCCACTATTCAAAATTTCTCAATTTTTCCCTCCATTACGCTTTTGGTCCATTTATTCCCTTACTGTTATCAAATCGTCTCGTCTTTTCCCTTTCCATTAATGGAGCTCCAAAGCGAAATGGTTGGATTCCACATGTCTAAATTCTGGGGAAAAAAGGTCTAAATTTACCCATCTTTTGACTATGGTTTAAAATTACTCTCAGGTTGGAGCTACATTAGGGGTCAAGGGCAAAAATGATACCTTTTCCTAACGGAATGGGTAATGTTAAACCAAAGTTTAACGGAGGGCAAAGTTGCTCAACTACGAATAGTGCAAAGACAATTTTGTCCCTTTTCCCTAAACATAAATGTGATTTTTAAAAAAAACATGTGTATCTATTAGCCATTTGGATCCTAATAAATAGAAACTTTGCACAATAGCAGCAGCCTAACAAAAAAAAAAATCATGGTCTTTTTTGACCAAATACAGTTACAGCGAAATCTGGACCTGAAGAACAATGGCTGTTGCAGCTTTTCCAGGTGACGCTGATACAACATTGCATAGTGCATCGACCACCTGTAGTTATGGAAGATTGTCAGCGATCTTGTGTATTTGAATGTACATTTAAAAAAGCAGCATGTGCTCTAACTTGATTACAGGTATTCTTCATGCTATCACAAAACCACTGCATAATAATCGTAAAAGCAACATTTTCTCATTTTTGACTCCCAAAACCTAACAAGTTCTTGTTATCATAACATTTTCCACCTCTTGAAGACAGTTCAATGATTTTCTTGTTATGCTGCCTGTACCATGCAGTTCTAATTAAAGTTGTTGGTAGTTACCGCTACTTTGAATGTGCATATTGCTTGTGCATGGAGTGCACGACGTGAGATAGAAAATTCATATTCATAAACGTAAATAGAAGAAGAGATTGGTGCTACCATGACCTAATAGGAAAAGTCCCTGTTATTCCCCAGTCTTCTTTGACATGAGCTTAACAAGCTTTGAGGGAGGTAGAGATTGTTATTTTTCCTCGGAAGAAAAAAGAAGTTTTGAGGGAGTAAACTTGGGATTGTCAATCAAAAGATTCTAATTTTCAGTCAACAGAGCAAGTGTTAGCAAACAGGACTCTTCCTAGCAAAAACCAATATCACGTACAGAGAAAAAGAGGGGAGGTAGGTGTTGCAGGAAAAGGAAATAGGATTGGACCAAACATGGAAAGAAAAGGAAAATCGGTGTACTTCTCGAATTTAGAGGCGAGACGCGAGTGAGCAAATAATATTGTTTTAGGGGGGTGCTTTGTTCTTCAAGTAACATGGTTTCACATCTTTTGACGCCAAAGCTAACAATAAAACCACCTATTTGAAACTTCAAGAGAGAATGATTATGGAAAAATCAACTTCAAAATATTAAATTGTGATATCAAGCTCTCATTGCACATAGTATATGTTTATCAGGCACATTGCATCTTACTCTATGATGATATATTTTTCCTATTGGACAATTGCCACAGAAAATAGTAATTCGTTAACAATGATTAACACGAAGAAGTAACAAGGTAGATACCTGTCTCCATCCTTGCTGGCCAGAAGTGCTTTCTGCACTGGGTTGAGTTTCAGGTGATGCAATCAACTTGTGCCAGAGCAATGAGACAACTGAAAAACATAATTCTTGTTTCTCCGCAAGCACTGATTTTAAAAGATCTTGTGCATTGCAATTAAATCCTATATGCCTGTCCTTTGTCAGAAAATTGGCCAAATCTGAAGCATCTAAAGAGAAATTTGCAAACACTTTGCTGATGGTGCACCCTGCAACCTCACTTGAGTGTGAGCCTTCTCCGCACACAATTGAAGCTTTACAATCAGAGTCTTTGCACTGAGGCACTGATGGCTGTTCTGCTGTTAAGCAGTTACGACTTGTGTATTTATAATGTTTTTCCCATTTAAGCATCTGGGCCGCTCCTTTAGTACTGGTGCATGTATTAAATAAGCTTCCAATGGTTCAGCCTTGTTGAGAATTGATGCGACAGTTTTGCTATGAATATCAATTAGGTTATATAGTGAAGATGCCCTGGAATGGATTCCATTATCCCACTTACACCGTATCAAGATAGAAAGAGCACGCATGCAAGCCTTGGAGCGTCTAAACAGATCAGAAATATGAGCAGCTACCATAGCTGCAGCAACTATCTCATTTGAGCTGTAGCTCCATGAAGTTCCAACAGAAGATGGCTTCAACGAAAACAGTGCCTCTAAAATTGCCAATATCCTCCGAGTATGACAGACGGCAGAATGAATCCCATTTTGTAACTCAATAGATGAATCATTTGCAGGTTTTGCTTCATCCATGATGATTTTCGGATCTGGCTGATTAGTCCCTCTTGAAATCAAAGTAAAGAGCTGAAGTTCACAAGAAAGAGCACAGACAGCTGCAAGAACATAAGAATCAAATGCTGCGACAGGTCCTTGTTTTTTCACTTTCTTATTTCCTATCTTTTTCTGTTCTCCAACGATTGTGAGTGTATCTACCCCTATTTCACTAGGTGGGTGAGAATCTTCACCTTTAGGCCTTTTATTCCCATTTGGTTTTGCTTCGTGGCTGACACATACAGTTAAGACAACGAAAAGAAGACGAGAAGCAAGCTCTATAGAGGCACATGACTCCAAGAACAACGAATGAACCATGGTTCGCAATTCTGCCACAGCAAGGTTCTTGAAGGCAGAGCCAAAAACGTATCTGGTTTTTCTGTTTTCCTCTCTAGAGGAATCAGGTGGGAACGTTCTCTGGAGAATTGCTTCAACGGTAGCAACAAATATTTTCATGAGACAAGTTTCCGATGGACTCCCACGAGGAAGATACTCTAGAACCTTAAGGAGGGGTATATACAAGTTCCATGAAAGAATGGGTGGTTGTAGAGGGGTAGCAACTACAATTTCAGGGAGATCAACCGCAGATGAACTTAAAGGAATCAAGCCATAGGCAGCTTCCCAGATGGTACATATTCTCCATTCAACCTCTGGACCATGTGCGCAAAGCATTGATGCAATCCCTTGGGCAGTGACTTCAACTGTGGCTTCAATGGTGGCTTCTGTACCCACATGTTGTTGAACTTCAATTCCTTCAACTTGCCGTAAGGGGGGAAAAAGCAAAGCAGGTTGAGAAAGTATTCGGAAAAGTAAAGCCGCTGCAGAATCTGCAGCAATTCCTGCTCTCATGGACATGGCAATTCCAATTGCACGCAAGAAATGCAAATGCATCCAATTCCTAGGAAGCTTTGGCAATACATAAAATGTTAGGATTTCTATAGGAGATTCTAAGAAAAGATACATAAAAAGATAAACCTCCATTAATTGGAGACAGGAGGTGTACTCAAGCAACAGAATCCATAAGTTCACTCAGTAGAAATATGTTTTAGTGGAGAACATTCCAGAGGTCATTGCTTATGCAACGGATTTCAAGGATAGCTGAAAGCAAGGAA